AAAAAAAGATTGAAAATATATGGGATTGCGATACAGAGAGCTTCAGAGCAGCGCTCAAGTATGCAGCTTGGGACTTTATCGGGGCCTACAGTGAAAGATGGGTCAATTGTCAACAGACCTTGCAGAACATCACAAACTTCAAAAGGGGGTATATTAATATTGTTAGCGTGAGATAAGTGATAAGGATATGGTGTAGATAAATTGTAGGAAATTTGAGAATATGTAGATTGAAAAAATGTGCCCATTAGATACCAGATTTTAATATCAGAGGATTTATTTTGATTATGTAAATAAAAAGTAGAAGGATAGAGGCGCGAATTTCATTTTGTGTTAACGAACGAAAAAAATTTTTTAGGGTTGTTTTTAATATTCTCCCTACAGTAAGCAATGTAATCCGCAAAAACACTGATTGTTTTATAGCCCTGTAGCCGAGTACACCGATTCGTTAAAGTAGAGAGCTGCCTCGTCCAGATAGGTAAATGTCTGTAAAACTGACCAGTCTATACGACTCAGGTAAAGGTTTAAGCCAAGAAAGTCGGTTTTCCGAAAACACTTCGCACGTTACGAGACAGCTTGAGTCAGAATTAAGACATCGATATCGACGCTAATGCATAGAGTAGAATGATACCTATCTTCAGGTGTAGAAACTGGAGTGGTTCTTACAACATTTGTTAGTGAAACATCACTTACAAACGTTAGGTCGAAATTTCGGTCTCTATAATAAGTAACGTGGTTGACCTGACCCACAGATAGTTCAGTTCATCGATGAAGTGGTGTTGATTTTCTGAAAATAAAATGTTAAAGTCAGCACTGGCAACCCATGAAAGGGGTTATAAATTGAAATCACCCAAAACTAGTGTTGGTTTCTATCACTAACTGCGTTGGTAACTGCATAAATGGCTGAAAGAAAATGATTGTAGAATGCAGAATCAGAGTAAGGGGAAGTATATGAGAAGGTTATAAATATTTTGACTTCGTTAATTAAAATTTGTATTGCAATAAACTCGAGGCTATGACTATTATCATAGGGGAGTAGCTCAGATGCAGAGGAATTCAAAACGGCAATCATATAGCCTCCGCCTCGAATAAGTAGATTTATAAATGACAAATTTATTCATAAATATTTCTTGGTCGTAGACAGTATGATCGAGCCAGGTTTCAGTCAAAGCAATAATATCGAGTGGCTATTAGAAAAAAATCTACTTAGCTTACCCAACAGGATGACAGAGAATTAGCAGCCATATTGTAAGATCTAATGTTTTTAAAAATAAAGTGTCTAGGAGTAGAATTTAGAGATGACAGAATTAGCAGCCATATTGTAAGATCTAATGTTTTTAAAAATAAAGTGTCTAGGAGTAGAATTTTAAAAGAAGAGATATCTCGTTTTTGTTTAAAATTGAATTTAGAAACTCTAATAAAATCGACTTGGCCACAAAGTTTATGGGACAAGTTTTTTAGATCATCAGAAGTCACTTCAGGATTGAGGCGACATACAAAAATTGACCGACCGTAAAAATGCAGGCGTTCAGTTTGTAAAGAGAATAACGTTACTCTTCCGCAACGGCTAGAGATGAAGCGCGAACAGCGAAAAGGGAGTTACAAAACTGCAGTTGCAATAACAAAAAACACAAAGAGCCTGTGGTGCTTTTGTTAATATGGAAATCGTGAATCATAATATTAATTTTACAATAGAGGGTAATACTTTAGCATGGTTTTAATAGTTTTAACCAAACTCAGCGCTTAACATCATGGAAATGGTAATTATTTACGCATGTACACACAATGGAATGTATACAGTTTCCTACATATAGGGGAATGAAAATATTTTAGTTCAATTAAATAAATTTATTAATATATTAAATATTAAATTAATTAATAAATTAATCGAGATTACCGATATACTTTAGTATAGGTATCGAAGTAGCCCTGTAGAGCTACACAAAATATAATCATTTAATCTAAGTTACTGACATTCTGCCGTTCCTAATACGGGTATGACACTGCATTGGTCGCTACTTTCATTGACGGATTCATTGAAGCTCAGAGACAGAGGTAACACTGCTTTTTTAACGTTAAATTCAATTTGTATTGTTTGTTCCGCGTAGTACTTTTACTATTGGGTATCGGGTATAAAGAGCGTCGAAGCTCAGCGATCCGAAGAGACGGGTACTTCTCGTATATATCAACACGCGATAGCGAAGTGCAAAAAACGTCTACCAAGTGTATCTCGGCCCTACTGACGGTCGATAGCCCCTCTACTTACTCTTACACCTTCTTCTATGGAGTGCAGTGTAAACACCAGGGTTGGTTACAAACCAAAAATAAACCGTGTCCAAAGAGATAACGAATTACCCGGCAGATCTAGTGACAACAGATTTGCCCTCCTAGCTGAAATTCAACCAGAACTGGGTCAAGAGACCCAACCGAAACTTAAACTCCCATTAATTCACATTAGGGAGAAAAGCTCGAACGCCCTGGTAAACAAAATTGTTGCGCTGGTCGAAAATTTGCATGTTGTTCCGGTTACTAAAGGGAATATTCACGAAACCAAACTTCAGACCAAATCTGAAGAAAATTTCCGAGTTGTGTCCAAATACCTTGAAGTAGTAAAGACAAACTACAACACCTTCCAATTAAAAAGCAGCAAGGACTTACAAGTTATATTAAAATGAATTGAGCCCGATGTTACCGCTAATGAAGTTATCGATGCCCTCAAAGAAGACGGTTTATCTGCAAAGACGTTAGTAACATCATTAAAAAGAACAAAAAGCCGCAACCACTCTTCAAGGTAGAGCTGAAGCCAGATAGCAGAGTCTTGAATAAAAAAGAAGTGAATCTTATCTATAACCTGCAATACCTATTGCACCGGAGAATTACGGTGGAAGAGCCACAGAAAAGGAACGGACCGGTGCAATGCACAAACTGTCAGGAGTATGGACCCACCAGGACATACTGCTCACTGCGATCAGTCTGTGTAGTTTGTGGGGCCTTTCACAATTCCCCAAACTACCCAGCCAACAAGGAAGACCTCCAAAAGAAGAAATGTGGAACTGCGGAGGAAATCACACGGCTAACTACAGCGGCTGTGTGGTCTGCAAGCAGTTAAAAAACCGCATGCGACGGCTGACTACGAATGAGCAGCTAACAACATCAACATCTAGGAGCCCAAACTGACCAACAACACAACTAGCCAATCACCTCATAGTAGTAGAGAGGTGGTTATCTGACTGTCGTATCCAAATAAATGCACAAAAGCAAACACATTACGTTTACATTACTCTGAACAGGCAAACATTCCCTCCACTATCATTGAATAGTAGGCAGTTTCCCCAAGTCAACGAAGTAACTTATTTCGGCGTTCAGCTAGACAGGCACTAATCTGGAGAAGACACATCGAATGCAGGAAACTACATTTAAAACTAAAAGCCAGCAGCTTCCACTGGATCTTAAACGCTCGCTCGCCCCTGCGTCTGGAATACAAGGTCCTGCTTTACAATTCCACTCTCAACCTCATCTGGACTCCCAGCTATGGGGAACGCGAGCAGCAGCAATATGTACATCATACAGCGCACACAATCAAAAATCCTGAGAACTATCACTGGAGCACCATGGTATTTTCGCAACCAAAAACATCCACAGGGGCATCGGCATTCTTGTAGTAAAACATGAAATAGACAAACAAAAAGCGGTCTACAATGAAAAACTGTGTGTCCATTCAAATAAATTCGCAATAGGCTTAAATCGGGTTTCCAGCTGAACCAGAATGTAGAACGCAACTCAGTCATACGATTGTTAGTTGTATTACCTTAGGATTTGGTACATATATTGTTAGTATCCAAAAGGAAAAGAATCAATAAATAAATAGCAAAGCAATAAAAAAAACAACGTGACGTCTACTGTTAACAAGGGTATTAGCGTTCTTGGGTTTATTAAGCGATGGTCGAAGGAATTTGACGATCGTAATACAACTTAATTATTATTTACTTCCCTTTTCCGTCATAATTTAGAATATTGTGTTCCCAATGTCAAGTACACATCGGTCGTATTGAGCCGGTACAAAAAAAAATTTCTTCTTTTCGCCCATCGTGGTTTGAACTGGGATCAAAACGTTAGGTAGATTAATATTACTTAATTAAGCAACTCTCGTTAATCCTACAAACATGCTTGGAACTATTTTTATGCACAATCTTGTCAGAGTTGTTATTGACTCTATAGGATGCGCCCTTTAGACCAACCCGCTAATACCATCCTCTTAATTAGCCAAGATGTACTTCAAGTTTTGGCCTGCATGAACCCTTTCGTGTTCTTTGTAATAGTTAAAATAATATATGTTGCAGCATTGATAATATTTTCCGACATTGTAATAGCGCAGCGAGTTTCGGTTTCACACGCACGAAATCCCTTCTTCTTTCTGTGCTTACCACCGAACCACACACCCCGCTAAAACGGTACTTCTTAAGCGACAACACGCATACAACCAAACGAAGCACCGTTAGAGGCTGATGTAATATTACTTTAATGATGAAATTAGTCTTCTGGAATTTTCCAGAGACCGTATACCCATATACTCATACCAACATCCACACACTCTTAGTGTGCACCGACATATATATAATCAAATTTGTATTTCAAAACTAATCCCTTTTATGAAAACAACATTTTGAACATATTTGCACCGTACCTAGTTTTAGTTTTTTTGTAAATGTCTCTATATTATGTAATTTTTCTTTTTCTCGCGAACTCGATAATTGCCCATAATGCTTAAAAAGAACGCGCGTAACCAGCTCGTGCTTGGTTTTGTTGGGCAACTTGTTTATTGTTGCTTGCCAAAAAATATATTGAACACCTAAGCTATGTTCTGTAACACAGTTTTAAGAAAAACGGATACCTTTAAAAATAAAACTAATGGTTAAATGATTGGGAAAATTGAATAGAACATTCTTCACTTCACTCTTTAAAAAGTACTGTAACATTATTAAGAAATGTTTTCTTCATTTCAGTCCCTGGAAAGTACGCGACGTATGCTTGCTCTCTGCGAGGAGGTAAGAAATCAAAACAGCGGAAATATATCAGAAACGTATTTTAATGTATCGTCATTATACCACTAATTTGTTTTATTTTTACTTTTTAAATTAACATTAAATACATCCTGTCCACTTCTATACGTGGATATATTTAAAAGAAAAGGTACAGGGGATCATATAGAAAGTAATTTCCTGATTCTTACGCCGCTCCTTCTTACCGGGAAACCCCAAAACCAATCGCAATTCAAACCTTCAAAAAAGATTTTTTCATAGAGACAAAGCACCTCCAAATGGTAAAGGCCATTATGGATAATGTTTCATATATTATTTAATATAAAAAATTCTAAATTGTATTTTCAAATGATCTCGACTACTTGAATTTATTAATTGGTTATTATTTTTTAAACCGAGTTTCATAATAACTTAACAAATGTTAAGTATTGTGTTGTAAAAATTTCTAATGTAGGTGTCTGATCCACTACTATTCTTCTACGTCGCATTTGTCATTTTTTTACCGTTCACCGTACTTTTATTTATCTTTTAACACCACCTATAAAACTCAAGAGAAGTTATATATTAAGCTGCGAAGTGTTTTTATTCAATCTGCATGCTGTTGAAAGCCGGCAACTGATAGCTGCGTAAAAAATTACATACAAAACCTTAAATTCAGATCAATTATGAAAATGAGTGTAAAAATAGTAGTGTACACATGCTAGAATTATATCATAGCACAAGGCTTACTTCCTTAGAACCATTTCCTGTGCGCAAAAACGAGTAATTGTGAAAAAAGAAGGCAAATGTTTCAGTAGAATAGAAGATAACACCTACCACGAATGTATGTGTATTTGTCAGTTTTAATAAGTTATAGCTCAGCCAAGTGTTGCATAAAACAAGAAAATTAATAAAATGTTGTCAACTAAACAATAAACAACGAATCGCAAATCGATAAAACGGTATCGATAAGGTTTCGTAGGGACGATGTGGACTGCTGTGCAATTTTAGGAAGACTACTTCGTACACTTTTATGGACTGATCATGGCCTTTTCATTGTTGTCGATGACTTGGTATACCTTGATATTTCCTAAGTCTTCTCCATAGAGACATGAATTTAAATGATTGTTTCAAAAAGGTTGACTAAATTTTTAAACTTCGAATACTTGCTACTAAATTCGGAAGTCGAGCACCAGTTGGGGATAACGAGGCTAACCGTAGAACTTCGGCTTCACGGCCATTACAAGCGACATAATTTTTGCTTTGGCTACTATTGTTAATTCTTTCAACTCGATTCCAAACGTATCGCTTTGCACTATCAATTGATGCATTTAAAGCATCAAGCCTACAAGGCAATTCTTGCGCTTGGATCGCAACCGACCCTGAAACTAGCCGTTCTTCCAATAGACGAATACTTCTTACTACGCTTTTAAGGTTGTGTTTTATATATATTTTAATAAATATGTAAATTGGTAAAATATTTTTTTTGAAATGTATATCGTGTATATGTATATGTGTGTGCAATATTTAACTATGTTTAACGCATGCAAATCTAGCTTTACTATATAGATACGTATGTGCCAGGAATTGAAACCAAGGCGCAATTTTTCAGCACAAGACAATTAATATTTAATTTTTGTCTACAACTCTAGCTTTCAATTTTTGCACAAACACCTCAGGCTCTGCGTTCGGATCTTTGAATCTGGTTCCTCGTGCAGTCAAAGCAAGTGCCGGGCATCCCTCGGTGATGACAGTAATTAGCGACCGGCAAAATTTGTTAGCAAGCTTAAAATGCATTTCTTAACAACAAAAAAAAACACTCGCCGCGGGCAACTAATAATATATAATAAAAATGTGCCGGACAACGCTAGACCACAAACATCAATAGTGACTCGAAAAAAGCTCCAAGCATACAAGCGCTTCTTTTGGAGGTTCTTTTTGTTCTTTTGTTCTTTTGCATCCACCTTAACGGACATCGCACCAAGTGACTACCACCTTTTCTACTCAATGTCGACCGATTTTGATAGTAAAAAATAAGCTACAAGAGAGGATTGTGAAAACCGACTGGCTCAGTTTAGAAGAAGAATAAAAGGAGAAAAATAAATCGAAGTAAATTTCAAATAAATCGGTTAATTCTAAAAAAAAATCTAATAAAAAAAGCTTTGAATTTCATGTACAAATAATGGATAACTTCTGACTTGACCTTATATAAAAGCTAAGAACAAGCTCGACTATGTTTTTTTCTGGCAGACCAAAGTACTGGCCGGCAAACCCAAAAAAACTACCCGATTAAATAGACTTTTCGATTACCAAAAATATTCCTAAAAATCTTATGAACGCCAAAGATTATTTATCTGATCACTTTCTTTTACTCCGACATCCAGGAACATTAAAACAATCGTTTAAATTGACTTCACAGAAAACCGATTGGGTTAAGCACAGGAAATATATAAGCTCACACATTGTGCTGGGTCCTCATCTAAGCGAAGAAGCCAACGTTACAGCTTTGTTTATACACTGGTGTCTGTACTTGTCTCTGCAGCTCGAGTTTCAACACCTCAAACTACAAACACACAATACAACCAAAACAAGACAAATCTACAAATCGAACAACTCGTCCTCGAAAAGCCACTCCATCGGCTAGGCAAAGCTTAAGGCATGCCTCACGTCAACGCTTTAAATCTTTACAGCCAAAAGAACCATTTTTCTAACGCCGGTACATAGAGCAATTGATTTGTACCACTCACTATGGAGAGCTCACCCAACTCTAAGCTCACCGAAAGAAACTGTGATGCCTATTAGAAATCGCACAGGCGGCTGGGCGCGCAGCGATGCAGACAGAACCAGCACGTTTGCCAACCACCTATAAAATGTCTTCTAACCAAATCCTCCCACTAGTGCGTTGACTTTGCCGACTTAACCATATGAGCCTCAGCTTCAAAATGAGCCAATTGAGATTCGCCCAAACGAAATCGTGAAATCATTAAAAATCAGCTGAATCCAAAAAAGAATCGCCGTCCTGCGACCTCATAACCCCCTAATATGGTCACTGAGCACCGTTTGCACTATCACTCAGCTTTTTAATGACATCGCAAAACTTGGCCTTTTTCCAGTGAGATAGAAAAAGTCAACTATAATAATGATAGCAAAGCCGGGAAAATACCACAAAATCCCCACATCGTATAGACCTACAAACTCTAAACTAAACCTCAAAACTTATTGAAAAACGCGGATAAATAAATACCTAAGAATCCAGGAAGGAATTACATCACATAAATTTGGGTTTCCTGAAAAGCACCGAACATTTGAGCAGGTCAACCGGATAATATTAGAAATTCGGAACGCGTTCGAAAAACGAAGGTGATGTACTGCAAGCAATTGATAGAGTTTGGCTAGAATGTTTAATGTACAAGATCAAGACAATGCTCCTCTAGGCCAGAAAATTTGGTGTGAGGTGCTGGAGTTCCTCAAGGCCAACATTATACTTTCTCTACACAGTCGGGATGTCCGACAAGCACACGACTAACAACATCTACAAAATCTACAAAATTCAATAAAGCAAAGTTTAAAAAAAAATCGTTGACTATGGTTGTTTCACCTCTGTAATTCCGTCCTTGTTGTCCGCATAAAATAATGCTGACTTTAACAATGTTCCCCATCTGGTAAGGCTCCGCTGGTAACTCATTAAATATTTGCGTAGCCTTAACGACATTTTTTTTACACATATTATAAACGAGTAAGCGACATGAAACGATGTTCCTACTTCTCCGATTACTTACTTTCAATCGAAGTTGTGCAGCTGAAGTGAGCGGACGTGTTTCGCGCGAGCTCCGGTAAAAGTTGAAGAAAGTGAATGTTTTTAAAGACAAATGAACAAAATATACAAACAAAAAAAATATACAAAATAAGCGAAAAGATATGATTAAAACAACTGCATAATGCTTTTATTATAGTGCCACGCTAAAAAAAAGCTCAATGAGCGACGAACCAAATGACGAGTGTCGAAGTTCAGCGATTTGAAGAGACGGATACTTCTCGTATATATCAACTCGCGATATCGAAGTGCAAAAAACGTCTACCAAGTGTATCTCGGCCCTACTGACGGACGATAGCCAAAGATCACAGTCTTGGTCCCCCTCTCTACTTACTTTTACACCTTCTGCTACGGCGTGAAGTTCTCATGGTAAAAGGCCCCAACCATCAGACTCGACCACTGGAGCACCAACCAATTGCATGTAAAACTTCTGCAATTTCACCAAAAGAAATAGAAAGAACTACAGCTACGGCAGCAAATTTAACAACAGAGACAGAATCGTCTCATATCGCCAAACCGACTGCAAAGTCGTTGACCTCAGCGCCAAATACAACAGCAACAAAAACTCTGACAGCTAAACAAAAACAAGACAATATTCAACGATCGGGCCTCGCCGTACAATCCGGCATGGGTCGTACATCCAAATTAAGCGTAATCTTAGCCCGCAGAACACCGGAGTTGAATACAAACCAAAAATAAACCGTGACCAAAGAGTCAACGAATTACCCGGAAGATCTAACGACAACAGATTTGCCCTCCTAGCCGAAATTCAACCAGAACTGGGTCAGGAGACCCAACCGAAACCTAAACCCCATTAATTCACATTAGGGAGAATAGCTCGAACGACCTGGTCAACAAAATTGTTGCGCTGGTCAGGGAAGGAAATTTTCATGTTGTTCCACTTACTATAGGGAATATTCACAAAACCAAACTTAGGACCAACTCTGAAGAATATTTCTGAACTGTGTCCAAATACCTCGAGGAAGCTTAGAAAAACTACTACACGTACCAACTAAAAAGCAGCAAGGGCTTGGAAGTTGTATTTAAAGGAATCGAGCCCGATGTAACCGCTAATGAAGTTATCGATGCCCTCAAAGAAAACGGTTTATCTGCAAAGACGTTAGTAACATCATTAAAAACAACAAAAAACCGCAACCACTTTTCAAGGTAGAGCTGAAGCCAGATAGCAGAGTCTTGAATAAAAAAGAAGTGA